TGTCCCCGGACAGGAACTCCGTGGCTGTGGCAGGTGGACCGGGACCCCACTTTCCCAAACACATGGGGTGCGAGTGAGGGTGGAGGCAGCGACGGTTGTCTTCCGGGAGGGACACCAGAGGCCCCCCTGGGGAGGGGCTCCACAGGCAGGGGGTGAGGTCCCCCTGGGGACAGTGCGAGGGTCATAGGACCCCTGGCCACAGGGCGCAGGGCTAATTCTGATGAGATGGGGAGGTGGACCGGGACCCCACTTTCCCAAACACATGGGGTGCGAGTGAGGGTGGAGGCAGCGACGGTTGTCTTCCGGGAGGGACACCAGAGGCCCCCCTGGGGAGGGGCTCCACAGGCAGGGGGTGAGGTCCCCCTGGGGACAGTGCGAGGGTCATAGGACCCCTGGCCACAGGGCGCAGGGCTAATTCTGATGAGATGGGGAGTCTGCCAAGCGTTGCCTCCTCTTTCCCTTCCCTCCCCGCTGCCCCAAGCTGGCCCAGGTTGGGTCTGAGTTGGGCTTGGGGGCTGGGTGGGAGCAGCCAGGGGGATGGTGGGGACCTGGGGTCTCTCCCAGAGGAAGGGCAGTGGCGGCCTGGGGCAGGAGCCTTCCCCTCTCCGTCTGGTACCTGCAGAGCAGTCCTGGGCCCAGGAAGAAGGAATTTGCGGCTCCCCTACCCCGCAGCCTCCCGGTCCTCCTGCCGCCCCCGCTCTGCCCTGCCCTGCCCTGTGGCCTTTAGCTGCCCTGGCTCTAGACTGGGGCTCCTGTCTCCACACTCCTCTTCCCCTTCACCAGTCTTTCACCACCATCTCTCCCTCCTGAAGTCCTTTCTGAGCTCTACCACGAATCTCTCATGTTAGAAAAGAACCGTTTTTTTCAACAGGTAATTTTACATCCTCCTCGTGCACCCAGACCACCTCGGGGTTGGGGAGGTGGGGAATTTGCAGTCAAGCCTCTTGACAGAGAGAACCAGGAAGATAGAGTTCGATGCCTCACTGGCACCGGGGTCCCTCCGATGGGACAGATCGTGTGTGTGTGTGTGTGTGTGTGTGTGTGTGTGTGTGTGAAGGGGCATGTTGCAGTAGGGGGATGCTAGCAGGAGGCACAGTGTCTGTGACAGCATTC